AACATCGTCAACAATTCATCGACTATTTTCTCGATCAAAAAGATTATTATTATCGAGTTTCTAATGATGATAAACCTGTTTGGACACTGCCAACTCAAAGTCCACCATGCATTTTACTCTGTAAGTGTTGTTTTCGAAATTGAATATGAAAGTCACAGTTTATTATCTATCTAATTTTAGTCCATGATGAAAGTACTTTCCGTTCGGGTGAGGTGTGTTCAAAACGATGGTTTTTTGGAAAAGAAGCTCCATTCCATTCAAAAGGAAAAGGTCGATCGAATATGGTCAGTGATTTTATGGTACAACACCCCTCCGGACCATTCTTCAGTCTTTCTAAAAGTGAATATGAAAAAGCTCTAGTTAAATATCCCCAAGTGAGTAATTCGTATAATGTGCTTGTAGCAATAAATAATTTCTCTTTCTTTTCTCATCACATTCTAGTTAGCTAATGATACTGGCATTACCTACGTCGAGAGAACTGCTACAGGTTCAATTAATGTTGGTCAAGATAGTTACTTTGATAATGCTACTATACTGGAACAATTTGAAAGATTATTCCAGTTATTAGAATTTAAAGAAGAATATAAAGATCATGTAATTGAATGTGTTGTAGATAATGCAAGAACGCATTCGGCAAAGTCACATAGTTTATTGGATTTCGGAAAGTCAATTGGAACTCGTTGTCCGGTGGATAGAATTGAATATACAGATGCACAAGGACAAAAACAAATCTTAAATTGTTATTTTCAAGGTGGACCAAACCATGGAATGAGCAAAGGTCTTCTGTATCTTGCTAAAGAGTTGCAAATACAAGTGCCATCGAAAATTAGACTGGAGGATTTACGAGTATTATTGTCTGATCATCCAGCATTTAAAACGGTGAGCTTTTATATCCCAGTAAACCTTCTTAAACCGCTGATGTTTTCCACTATTTACAGGTTTCTCGATTAGAACAATTAGCTGCAAAATATGGTGTTACTATAAAGTTTTGTCCTAAGTTCCACTGCGAACTTAACTGTATTGAGGGTTTGTGGTGCTCACAGAAGATGTATGTTCGTCGAAAAACTGATCAAACATATACTACAATGCTCAAGTTAATTGTTGAATCACGTGAAAACTTTCGAGATAAAGAAATTCACTTGAAATTATTCCGAAGATTTTGGAAATGTTTATTGGCTTATAAAGATGGTCAATCATATGCGAAAGTAATGAAGATGTTCTTTGGCACTAAATGTGAAGGAACAGTTAAAAGTCATACACGTATTAGTAACAGTAACTTAAACGTTTAGTTTTTGTTTTTAAAGTCATGATTTTTCTCTTCTTTTTTTCATCTGTGATTTTCATTTTGACTATGTTGGAATAAATATACCAGTAGATACTTTAAGCAACAGAAAATATTTTGTTTACACTTCAGTTGCGTCGATATAGTTCGAAATCCAATAAACTACTCGATCTTAGCTGAAAAACCTTCCAGAAAACGTTTGAAAACCCTCACGGAAAACCTTCGAAAGATCTCCGAACTATGTCTATTGGATGCAGCATC